AAATCACAGCAAGACTACAGCTGAAAACTGATACATTCAAAGAAAAAAAAAATGGTCCCCATTAATACAAGCAACACCAGAACTCTAGCAGCACCTCTTTACTTATTTATTTATTTTTACTGCACTTGTACTTGTTTCACCTGGATGGTAAAGCACTGGCTCTTACTATCATAATGGTTCAGGTATTGTGCGATCATGTTTCCGATGAGGGGGAGCAGGGCTGCACGATACATCGTGTCGTGACGATAATCACGGTATGCGCATGCGTGATATTCACATCGCAGGATGTGACGATTTTTTTTTCTTCTTCATTTTATTTTTATTTTTTAGGACTTTAGCGATATTAAGTAGGCAAATTAACTCAAACACGTCATGTTACAATTATTTTGCTGCTTGCTACAAAAGGAAAACTTGTGCGGCTCTCATGTCAGGGGTACTTGAGTGAGTGACATGCAGGCTCTGCATGCACAGCAAACCACCAATCACAATCAAATCTCCAAAGCAAACGGACCCGGAGATTAAAGGTAAAAACACTGAATAAAGTAGTTTCATGTGTTTCTCCAGGGCAGTTTGGCGCTGCTAACCGAGCTAGCTCAGCTTGTTGCTCTGATAACTTAAGATCCAGATGTCCGTGACTAATATCCTTCATCCGGTTAAATATAGTTAAAAAAATACCAATTGTATAGCATTAAACTTCAAGATGGTTTGCGGGGGAAAAAACGGTATTTTCTTCAATTCCTGTATGTTTTCATATCGCAATATATATCGCAGGGGGGGGGGGAAATCGCAATGTCAGTTTTTTCCAATATCGTGCAGCCCTAAGGGGGAGTGATAATGTCTGTAATATGTTGATAATGTTTGCACAATATGGAAATTGATATCAAGAAACTGTTTGTCCTTTTGGTGCCCAAGGAGGGCATGAATGATTAAACCTGATGTAGAACAGCTGTAGTTATGTAAGCATCTCCATGTATGTTCTATTGATGTTATGTATGAAAAATAAATAAAAAGTTAAACAAAACAAAAAAACAGTGTAAGTTTAAAGTTTCAAATGATCTTAGACTCCAGCACTGTGAGCCTCCTTTATTTCATATCTGGAGATACGAATGGCGCTCTGTATACCAACAAGCCTCCCCTGGGTCCACAAAGAAACCCTCTGACCCGTAGTGTGAAGTCCAACTTCTGGCTGAGGTTAAAACTGTCCACCAAAGATCTTTTGACCTTGGAAGGTTAGATCCTTAATGAACATCTCCTTTTGTATAATGTCTTCATAACCGTGACCGTGATGAAAACTGCAGAATGGAGCGCTGCCATGGCAAACAGTATGTCTCTGTTGTCCACTGTACCAGAGAGCTCTGGTGTTTCCTTTAGAAATTGAGCACAAGGCTTCATTCGTGACTACTTTGCTGCTCAGGTCAAACTTTTGACGGGTTTCTCTTCGCCTTAGTTTCCACAGTTGCTTAAAATACACAGTTAGAAAATGTCTTAGCTTACACTTAAAAATTGAATTTTACGCAAAAAATCAGCTGGAGCAACCTGTGAGTGTGTCCTCACTTCTTATCACTCAACCAGGAAGTTCTCTGGGGTATTTTTACCTGAAATTATTCTAACGTGTCCATTTGCCAACAACAGAAACCTCCCACTCACCCCAGAAAGAACTCTGTGTCGTTCATCCACTGGTTGATGAAGTGGGCAGTAATGGGCTGGGGGTTGTGCTGGAAGTGCATATTGTCCAGAGTGTGGATGAGCAGAGCTGGGTTATAGTACAGAGCAGCAATGGCTACCTGCAGGCACATGGTCCTCAGCTCACTGGACTTCACCCCCCGCATCAAACGTTCCAGAACTACCTCCACAAACAGAGGGATGCACTGCAAGCAGGGAAAACAGAGGAATGAGGGAGGGGTTACTCTACAGCTAAATCTTTGGTGGGTCAATCCATAAGGAGTACTTGTATTCTACAATTTAAGGCTAACCCAGCTGGTAAGCAACAGTCTCATTTTATCATCTTACTCTCTGAAGGATAACAAGTAAGGGGCCATTTCCCAAAATGTTGAACCACTGCTTTAACATGGTAATTGTAGGACAGAACATGTTTTTGTTCAATTGCGTGCAGGAATTTTTGTTGACAGGTATGATGATAGACTGTAAAAACACTGGTTCCAGTACACCTAATGTATTGAATGTACCATAGTTGTTTGTAAAACCAAATGTTTGGTGAGTGATTTGAAAGGAATGTATTGCGCTCAGTCAGACCTGGTCAATGCCTCTTCCTCTGCACTGCAAGATGATGACCTCCAAAAGTTTGGCAGCGTGACACTCTGCATCCTCCCCTGCATCTATGGTTAACACCTATAATATGACAATGGTAGAGTAAGAATAACACAGGATCATGTTCACATGATATGGACTAGTGGACAGCAGGTAAGGACAGTTATAGCCTGACCTTTTTGCACATGCTGTAGATGACTTCTAAGTGCTTAGGGTTCGACAGGAGCATATCTGTATCCACGGTAACATAGTTGTGCAAAAGAGGCATCATATCTGTAACAAAAACACAGAGCACCTTTAACATTACCACCATTACTTTAGGGTTGATGCATCGACAAACAGCAACATTTATTTTAAAACGTGGATTAAGTATTACGGTTTCATTTTTTTATAACACTTTGAAACTCAGAGGAAATGAATTTACAAGGACAAATATTTGGGAGAATGCAAATATCTATATGTAATAGAGCAAAGCAACTACAATGTAGGGTGTTACAACGTCTTCAGATATCGCCTCAACTCAGGAATAACATGGACCCAAAGAAATCAGCTTTATGTATGACGTGCATTACAGAAGTGGGTTGTTTTTTTCATGCTATATGGACCTGTGTGCATATTCAAGATTTCTGGGGGAAAGTTGTTTCAAAGTATAATTAGATTTTTCATAAAGAACGGATACAAATGTAAAACTTGAGTATATTGGATGATACATAATTTATGCACAATTTATAGTAAAGATATTTTCCCCAAAAATATTTTAAAAACTCAGATGAAAACAAAGTGGTTACTAACATGAGAATGCAAAAAGCAGCACAACAGTAAACCTACTGTAGTCCTATTTGTACCATACCTTTACATTACAACCCACCAAAGGATGGCATCTTCTACTGAAAGCGTTTAAGTGTTCACATACCTGTGAAGTAGTCAAAGCAGTCGTGCTGGAAAACCTCATACAGTACGCCAAGTAGCTGCCACATCTGAGGGGAGACGCTCTGACAGGTGAGGCCGAACGCCAGGGACAAGATCTCCTCGTAGAACTCTGCACAGTTCAGGGATACTGTTAATCACTCTCTCTCTCAAGTATGTATACTAATTCACAACATGGACTGTATAACTTCCCCTGGAGGGGGGATCTCTAAGTGTAATGATAGGTGTTTGTATATGTGCTCAACGTGTCCTGAGTGACATGAACATGGAGCCGTACACACAGCTGAAGCTGGAACGTTTTTGAAAACCACAATGAGATGTTCACTTGTGGGAAATGTGTGAAAAGCATGGAGGTGTCTTGCTTATGGGAGGCATGGTTAAGAGTAAAGTGCTTATTTATAATAAATTAATTTAGCCATGGAATGCCCTCAGACGTACTCAATAACAACAACATACACCGATCAGCCATAACATTATGACCATCTGCCTATTATTGTGTAGGACCCCCTTTTGGGTCCAGAACAGCCCTGACCCGTGGAGGCATGGACTCCACTAGACTAGACCTCTGAAGGTGTGCGGTGGTGTCTGGCACCAAGACGTTAGCAGCAGATCCTTTAAGTCCTGAAAGTTGCGAGGTGGGGCCTCCATGGGTCGGACTTGTTTATCCAGCACACCCCACAGATGCTCGATTGCATTGAGATCTGGGGAATTTGGAGGCCAAGTTAACACCTTGAAATTAGTGGTTTTGTCACATTTTTGTCAGTGTGGCAGGACGCATTATCCTGCTGAAAGAGGCCACTGCCATTAGGGAATACAGTCTCCATGAAGAGATGCATGGCCCCTGACAGGTCTGAAGCTACGCAGCCCAATATACAACAAACTGCTCTGTATTTTCTGACACCTTTCTAACAGAACCAGCAATAATTGTTTCAGTAATTTGAGCAACAGTAGGTCTTCTGTTGGATCGGACCACACAGGCCAGCCTCTGCTCTCCACGCCCATCAAGGAGCCTTGGTCACCCATGACCCTGTCGTCGGTTTGGTAGGTCAACATCAACTTTCAGGACCTAGCCTAACCTATCCCACCCACTGACAGGTGCTATTGAACGAGATCTATGCTCTTCACTTCACCTGTTCAGTGGTCAATATAATGTGGCTGATCGGTGTATAGCCTTACGGTGTTTAGAATCAAACAATACATTTATTTATCAGACTCATTATTTATTGTATACAATCTGAACCAACAGTCAATCTGTACAGACCCATGTTCGAGTAGTATACTGAGAAAGCTAGCTAAGAGCATCCTATAATGCCCTTTGGCTGCCTTCTGTCCCATTTACCATGACTCTGTCTCCTGGAACCCTTCCATCTGTTCATTTCCCTGTTTCTCCTGATCTTTATGGCTCAGCTATAAACTGCACTAGTAAAACCAAACCCACTCTATAAAGTTTTGAAATGTAAAAGAAGAGAATCACCAAACACTATTCTCTGTGAACTATGTTGTGAAGGAGATCAGTTGGGGGAACATTACTATTTCTAAATCCGACAACGGCGCTTTGGATGAAAGCCACACAAGAACAAACGTTTCAATGCCAGGTTGCCATGGGGGCAGCAGAACGCCAAGAAGGAACAGCCCCGATACCATGATTATGAGTACCGCTTATGTACACACCGAGGCGCCTAGTGCAAACAACACCGTGCCATACCTATGATGGGGCTTTTGCAAGACCGCAGCCGATCACCTGGCAAACACAGATCCCCCTCCAGCTGCTGAGTGATCTGAGAAGAAAATATATAAAAAACAGGTATCAAATATCACATACAAGAGCAAACAGTTCAAGTTTCTATGTGTGTGGCATGGTTAGACCTCCTTGTGGTCCTCCATGACGGTCCATGAGTGAGATTGTGCGATGGTGCTGAGATGGCCAACGCCATGACGGGTCCTTGTCCTCGTTCTCCTCATATCTCCTCACTTTGTAGGACCCTGGTGAAGATATCTGCCTGCCACATGACACATGCAAACACAGTAGTTACACACACTGCGAACAAAGTCACAATATGTCTTTAGCTGTGACGGATGTAAGAAAGAGATCAAGCACCACAAGGCAGAGCATTGAACCCAATATTCGTACATGGCAAAGTATGTAGACAACATGCACACAAGCAGGTCAGTGAAATATCCCTTTATGAACTGAGACCGATACGGGACATGACCAGTGCGATTGGAGGCGGGCATAAGGGTAAAGAATGATTGGCGCATGTTCTTATCGTATGAGCCTCATGGATGTGGAAGATCCAGGAAAAGGAGGGAGGTTGTGTTCTTAAGAGTCCAGCGCTGTTTTGGACTTCATGCACACAGACAACTCTAATAGTGTCTGCAACACTGAATCCAGTTCTTTTATACATCCATGGTACATATCACATGCATCTAAAAGTTTTCAGGGATCAAAATGGAAGACTATTGTAATACTACTATCTATTGCGCGTTGAAGGGAATGCCACCCCTCTGGTTCCCCCCTCGTTTGAGGACCAGTTTCCATTCTTCTTGCTGCCAGCAGAGTGGGCGCAATGCAGTGCCTGCATGAAACAGTTCTGTGGGCGTTCCTTTGTTGTAGCCATTGTTAGCACTGGTGAGCAACCTGCTATGTGCGAACTCATCCATACTCATAAAGAGACATGTAGGCATACATCAATATAGATATGCTCGAAATTACATATAAAGTACCTTATGAATTGTCCCTTGGTAAAATGATAGAACGTGATTGTGTGTCCCTACCAGGGTTCTGTGTCATTCACAGCAATGGCAGGCCACCTCCTGGTTGTACATCGCAGATCATCTTCTGAATGACATGGTCAGGTCCGTCATTCTCCGTCTCTTTGACCACGTGCAGGCAGCTCCCTGTGCATGACGGGCCTGATGTGGGCCTGATGTGATCTTGGGCTGCACACATAACACAAAGCAGTGGTTGCAAGAGGCCTCTTAAAGAGCAACTTCCCAGGTTAAAGACACCTTGAATAAATGTGTAGGAAAATGGATGAATCACTAGATTTTCAAAAAAATATACAAAAATATACACTCAGTGACATCTGGCGCGTTTTTTGTAAGAAATGTTCACTTTCCGCATAAAAACAGCCTCGGCACGTGACCTCCGCGTGTGACGTAACACGGGGGACACAAGGGGGAGAGCGGCCGGTTAACGTTATTAATAAACTGGATCCCAATGCTAGTTTCGACACAGAAGACAGCAGAAGCAAGTTGAACATGAATATTCCGAATGCATAGACGACCACAACCCTTATAATTAGTGAGCCTGCTAGGCCGTCCAAGAGCCAGCGAGCAGCCAGGATTAGAAGAAATAACGGCCACCGGAGAGAAATTGAGCTGTGGTGTGAGGAGAACCAGTGGAGAACTGGGCAGGCTATCTGGTGATGACGCGTTAGCTACAGAAATAGCTAACGTCACTCACCACATTGTGTAAAGTTAGCTATCATAATATCAGGACTATAACTAAAGTACGCATTGATAATATAACGTAACGTTGCCTGGCAGGACTGTTGATCACTGATCCATAACAGAAACTAATGCGCAGGTATCAGTCTGTATCTCGCGTTACCTATGCAACGTCCACAAGTATCGGTGCTGTGTACGGAGGGAGACGCGAGATACGGTGATATTGACGATCTGCGGAGAAAGCTTGTGGAAGCCTCCGTTGATATGTCGTTGTAATGGCTTGATGGAAAGCAGTGTGTAGTCGGGGAGGGTGCACGAGCTGAATGCAGTCAGGTGAGTGGAGGTTGAGCCGGGAGCCCAGGAGTGACAGCCACCACGCACGACACAGAACAACACAGACAGGGGAAACAACAAACAGAAAGGAGAGCGGCTGGGAAGCAGTACAGCCACCACAAGCGTTAACCTAATGGCAACTCCACACTACGACTTACGGTGCGTGTACCGGAGGGGGGAGAGACAGAGAGCAGCGAAGGGGGGGGGGAGAGAGAAGTACGTAATTTTCGGACTTAATAAGCCGCGGCACTTTTTCCCCTATTTTTCGACGCTGCGGCTTATATAACGGTGCATCTAATCTATGGATTCTCTTACAGCTAAACCGGCCAACACCTTTTTAAAAAAAATCCCCCTAATGGGGGGGGGGGGCTTATGGCCGGTCCGCGGACACCCCAACTTCTAAGCGGCGGTTCCAGCAGAAAGCTGGGGCGGAAAAAGTGGAGACAGGTAGCGCGCAAAGTAAAAAGTGGAACCGAAGAGTGGGTGCGCCGCTGCTGCGGCTTATAGTCAG